TGGCCCTCCGAGTCTACTTTGTAGTATGTTAGCCTCCCCATGGTTGTGTATATGTACATTTTGTTGAAGTATAATATTTGCTATTTTGAAAAAATAAAGAAAAAAAAAAGTTAATTAGTTTATCCTCTCATCTGGAAAAAAAAATCCCCAATTCCTCCGCCGAACCCTAGTCATCTCCCTCTTCAGTTCGCCTTCTTGCAGCCTGCGCTCCGAATAGCTCGCGGAGATGGCCAGCCAGAGCGTGGCCTCCGAATCTCTCTCCTCTAACGAGTTAGTCTTCTCTGGCTTGGCGCTTCCCTCAAATTTGACGCCTGTGGTGGTTCTTTAAAGTGGCTCTCCAGCGGGGTGGGCGGTCGGACCTCCGGTGGGTTGGATTGAGGCTGATGCCGGCTCCTCCCCTGTTTTGCCTCGTCTCCTAGGTTTAAGACGGGGCTGTCCGTCTGACTGGTGCTTTTCGGTGCTTTCAAGGGCTCTAGTCAGGGTTGTGTTGGGGTAGGGGTGGTATGGCCTCCCGGGTGCGGCTCCGAGGTGGTTCTCGGCTCGTATTTGGTGGATCTATGTTAGCCTGACATCTTGGGGTGAAGGGAGTGGATAGGTCCTCCTGAGCTTTGTCCTGTCTTGGAGGTGTCGTCGTCGGGTCTCATCTTGTGCGGTGTTATGTTGTGGCAATGGCTGTCTGTTGGGAGGGCTCATTTGGTTTTATTTTGGGTTTGTTCTTCCGTGTTTTTGTTGTTTTAGGTGTTGTGGATTTTGTTTTGTTTGTGTTTTGTCTTGTGGTGGTTTGTGTTTTGATTCTCCTGTTGGGAGTTGTGTTGATTCTCCCTTTGGGAAATGTGTATCTCCTGTTGGGAGTTTTTATGGTGTCCAGGTTTCCCTTTGGGTTGTCCTCTCTCAGTAGATTCAGTTAGGTGGCAGTTTAGCTATTTCTGGTTGTTGTCTAAATGTAATTATGTATTTTTCTTATATAAAACTCATATCGTTTCGAAAAAAAAATAATATAAAATAAAAAGAAGAAAATGTCTTACTCAAATTTAATGTGGGAGATACAAGAAAGTTGACGCACACCAATATTGTTTAAAAAATAATGTTCAATTTTTCGTATGAAAGTAATTTTATTGTTCCCACACTCGGCAAATCTTCCTTCAAGTACAGCAAAAGAACAACCTTCTTTGTGCATTATTGAGTACAAACCAAAGCTAGTACAAAAGTACAGCTGCAAGACATTATGTGCACATCTTATAAAAGTACAAAGGTGTAGTACAATCAAACACCAATTTTTTGTGCTTTCTATATAAATGCAAGAAATCATCTTTTGTGTAACCACATTATATATTTTGATGCCACCTAAATCTAAGGTGAAAGGCATTATTCACAATTAGTGAAAAGGTTCAATAGGGGCGTCATGAGACTACATTATTTCTTTATTTTTATGGATGAGATTCATCTATGAATATGAAAGAGGCTCGTGTGTTCTCAGGTCGCCCCTGTAGGACTTTTTTTTCACTCACCAATTATGTTGAAATAAGGGTAAATTGCAGTTTTGATATTCAAAGTAAAGACCATTTTGAAATTAATACCTGTCTTGAAACTGGTATGAAATCAGTATCCAAACTTTTATTATGTTAGCAACGTTAGTACTTCGCCGTTAGATGCCCATCAAATTCCCGTTAGTTGTTAACGGAAGTGGTCAAAATGGAGAGAAAATTTTTTGTTTTTGGCTCATGATTAAACCTATATGTATAAGGCATTTTCACCATTTTTCTTCGAGAAAAAAGTGCAGTTCCATCTTCTGGGTAAGAAAAAAAATTAGAAAAAATTGAAAAAACAAAAAATCAAAAAAAATTCAAAAAAAAAAAAAAAAAAGTGAAACTACACTTACAAATTAACTGTGTATCAATTGCATACACTCACAACTTAGATGCTTGGACATCAATTGCTTATGTAGAAAATTATACTTAAGAATGAAATTACACAAAAGTACATAACCATTAATCATCATGTCCATTTGGACACGTTTTCCTAATAAACAATGGTCCTAGAAATTGCCATAACAAGAAAAAAAAATAAAGAAGAAAACGAACAATTGATCTGATCATTTAAAAAGAGCCAAACCACCCCAATAAAAACGAGAAAACTCCAAATTCCACTCTTATAGTAAAGCTTTGCGTCTCAGCAACATAGACTGACCGGATTAAGTGACGTCCGACCACGCTTTTCCTTAACAACAAAAAGTAAAAATCTGAAAAATTCAGTAACCATTTTTGTTGTCCACAAACCCAAAAATAGTACGCAAAACCTTACTTAAAGCTAAAGTTCCGTTTTCAAACTGAAAATTCAGTTCAAGAAATTGCAACACAAATAAATAAAAGAAAAATCCCGCTTTTAAAATCCTATGTTTCTTGCAAGCCAAAAAAACAAGGCAAATCCATTTTAAAGCAAAATCAAGCAGTTTAAAACAAAACATGGACCATACCATAGATTGGAGTTTCTTTCGTATCTGCTCGATTTCTTTTCGCCATAAAATCGATCTGTAATTTGAATATTTGGGTTGCAATTAAAAGAATCGAGTGGGACTTGAAAAACACGGGCATCAATTAGAGGATTTTGCATGGAAATTGAAGATTCGGGCTGCAGTTTGATAAATCGAGTTGAAATTTGAAGAGTCGGGCTGTAATTTGAGTAATCGAGCTGGACATGAAGAAATCGAGCAACAATTAGAGGAATTGAATTGGAAATTCAAAAACCAGGCTTCAATTTGAGGGATCGATGATGATTTTGATGAATCAAATGTAATTTTAGGGTTTTGTTTTCAGTGATGCGAAATTGGGGCAAAGAAAATGATAGTAATTCAAACCCTAACTGCCAGAAATTCTATGGTGCCCATATGGGCACCATAAGGTGCCATAATCTCACGATCCAACGTCTAATATCCATTGTGGAATTGATAGAAACGATATTGGCGTTGGATCGTGAGATTTATGACACCATATAGTGCCCATATGGGCACCATAGAATTTCTGAACTAACTGCGGTTAGTCAATTTGTTAACAATTAACGCACATATAGCAGCCAAGTACTAACGTTGCTAACAGAATGAAAGTTTGGGTATTGATTTCGTACAAGTTTCAAAACAAGTACTGATTTTAAAATGGCTTTTACTTTAGCCTTTAGGTATAAAAACTGCAATTTACCCTTGAAATAATTATCTAGTTTTTGACAATTTTGTTCATAGTTTGTTGGTGTGGATGTACTTGACACGGGCAAGGATCTCTTATGGATGCATTTAATTGCGTTTCATTTTCCAACAAAAAGACAGTACTCATACTTTAAAAATTTAAAATCAATTATAACTCAAATTCATTAACTTTAATATTATTCTTAAAATTAAATAATACAAACTAATTATTTTTACATATCACGTTAATTTTAATTCAACATTCATTAACTCAAATTATTTTAATTAACTGTCACTCCACATTATCTTTCTCCTACTTTTACATCAAATTAATTTTAATTATTTTATTTTTAATATTATTTTAAAATAACTTAAAACCTCTAATAACAAATATCAGTATTATATTTTTCAAAGAGTAATGCTACAATGCCAACATAGTATACAACTAGTTGACAACACAAGTGAAAACATTCAAAAACATAAAAATAAAAAGATACACAAGAGAATGTTCTCACTTGTGTTACAACTAGGTTGGCAATGTAGCATTTTCTTATTCAAAATTAGACTTGGTTAACAAAAAAACTCATTTTGAACGGATTAATTTTGTAAACAAGAACGCCCATTTATATAGAAGAAGAGTAGTCAGAAGAAATTTTATTTTTTTTCTCCTATTTTATATCAAATTTAGTACATTAATGATTTGATCAATTCAATATATATTGTTCAAAAATTTAAAGTCATATTGGAATGTGTATAATAGATAATAATTCTATTGTTAATGTTGAATATGTTGTCAATTGTTTAGAATCTTGTGCTAATTCTACATATCGCAATACAACTAATAATTGGAACATAAAAAATATAAAATAATAAAGATTAATGTCAATTTGTCCAGTAATTATCATCAATGGATGAATCCATTAAATATTTAAGACCATTNATAGAGATGCTATTAAAAATTCAGAACGAACAATGTTCGAATAGTACAGGCCAAACCCGAAAGAAAAACTGAGAGGACTCGTATATAGCGGTCTAGAACCTCAACAACAGAACAATAAAAACCTGCTTAGATCACACTCCACTGCCTAAGCCTAGAGGTGAAAAAAGAGGAAGAGAATGTAAACCAAACATAGCCAAAATACAAGGAAGAAGTCTGACTATAAAAGAAACTAACAGCTAAAAAAAGGAAATTACACCACCTGAATGTAGTCCATCCAATCATGATGTGCAGCTCTGAGTGTCAGATGGACTGGGAGGAGAGTACTTTGAAAGAGGCTGAGATTGCGGGTCTTCCAAAGCCACCAGAGGATGTATGTAGTCAATTAAAACCTCGCCTCTGATGTCTCTGACTTACCCACTGAACAAATGTATTGCCACGGGAAAATTTCAATTGTAGTCCCACAGGTATAGGGGAGTGACATTTTTTATCCCAACGGAATGCCGAAAATATGAATAGTCCCGCAGGTTTTAAAAAACGATCAAAACTAGGACTTTCTCCCCTTTTCCGGCCCGGAAATCCACGTCGCACCTATGTGACTTTTTTTTCCACGCTGGCCTCATACATCTGACGTGGCCGAGTACACCCACACGCCTGGCAAGAAAACGGGCAATATCAAAAGGATCGGCCATTTCAAATCTTAATTTCCAAAAATTAGAACCCTAATCCCCAAATCGGCCCAAAATCGCTACAAAATCGCCCCAAATTCGCCACGAAATTTGTTTTGATCGAAAGCAAACTTGAGGAGAAGCTGAACACAGAAACGGGCATGTTCATATTTCTTCCCTCAATTTCCCAAAATTGTCAAATCTCAACCCTAGTTGAAATATGTCTTTTGTCACCGGAGATGGGACATGCCGTTGTGGTCGGAGGATGGTGATTCGCACAACATGGAAGGACTCCAACCCTGGGCGGCGGTTCCAGTCATGCTTGAATTACAAGGTAAGGTGTTAAATACAATTGCATATTTAATGAAGTATTTTATTCATATGTGAAGAATTAATCCTTTTTTCTTGATTTCTAAATTATAATCTCACAGAATGGAGGCTGTGATTTCTTTGACTGGTACGATCCTCCAATGTGTCGTAGGTCTAAAATGATAATTCCTGGCCTCTTGAGGAAGATGAATGAAAGAGAAGCTGAGATTGAGAAGCTGAAATTAAAAAATGAACATTTGGTGAAGTTGGATAAAAAGTTGAAGAAGATGAATGAAAGAGAAGCTGAGATTGAGAAGCTGAAATTAAAAAATGAACATTTGGTGAAGTTGGTTAAAAGTTGAAGAAGATTGTCTGCATTTTGGTTCTTTTACTGGTGTTACCATATTGTCCAAGTTCAAAGTTGCTAAGGAGAACCCAAGTGGAATGAACCAAGTGAAGATGCTGCAGTGACTATCCTTTTGAATTGTAGGATGCTTCAGTGTCCTTTTGCTATAGTGAAGATGTTGGTGTTTGCATTTTGATTGGTAGGATGGTGAAGACTTTTTTCTTGTGTACTGTATTTTGTGAGGATGGTTAAGATGTTAGGATCCTAATTATGTTATGTTAAGACCTTTTGGTAAGATGTAAGGATCCTATTTATGTTATGTTAAGACCTTTTTTCAATGTAAGATGTTGTATTTGGAATGACGAAAGTTGTCTTTGGTTTATTTTTGTATGTTATGATTAAGTGGATTTTAGAATGTTTATTTGAATCAGAGAATGTTAAAGCTTTATTTTGATTGTTAAGTTGTTATGTTTAACATTTTGAATGAGAAATCTTTAAACCAACACAAAAGCAGATAACCTGTTTTTTATTAGGAGAAGAACTGCATTATGAGACCCAATACAAAAACATTATGAGAACTTCATAAAGGACACAAACACAAACACAATATCACCAATACCAAATTCATTACATAGTTCTTGCCATTGTATTCAAACACAATCCCAAGAACATCTACTCCAAAAGCTGTTTTTCCACATGAGAACCAAAACAATTCTACATCAACCATCCAATTGTTTCTGAACCAAAACATGTCCAAAGCAAGTTTCATAGTAAATGATTTATACAGAACTTAACCTAACACACAAATTTTCATTGTATTCACTTCTTTTTCCCCTTTCCTTTCTTCATTTGCACTCCTGTTTGGCTTTCCTGAGAGAGGTTCATGAACTTTTTCCCACCTTCCACTACAATTGACTTGGAGCTATTGGGCTTGGTACTGAATAATGGTCTGCTATATCCTCCTGTGATTGGTGGGGGTGCTCTGATATTGATCCTGGTCTGCAGAGGGTTAGTCAGAGGTGGCTGGTTTGTGGACATTTTCAGCTACTCATATGGAGAAGGATCTGGCTTGTGAGGCTGCACATACTGATATATGTTGCTGTCAACCTGGCTTTCAACTGCTGCCATCAAATCCTGATCTGAAATCACACTATCCATCAGATCCTCTAGGGTGGGTGGTAAGATCTGTGAATTTGCATTCTTCTTCTGTTGTTGTGCATTAGATGAATTCTCCACACATCTTTTGCTTTGTTTGTTAACCTGAAAAAATATAAATAGTTATAAGAATGTTTTATATGAGCAAACAAAATACATGTGTCAGAAACATACTTGTGGCTGAGGCTGCTCATGTTGATAAAAGTCCATCTCAGTATAGTTATCAATTACTGCCATAAACACCTCATCTAAGATGACACTATTCATCAAATCATCTGCTCTGGGTGGTAAAATATTGGCATTTTCATTAACCTCCTGTTGTTGCTGTGGTGCATCACAAGATTTTTCAACTCCATCTGTGTTTTTCTTAGTAACCTAGCCAACATACATATTCATAACTATTTTGATCCAAAAAGCAATTAATTGAAATGCATATTTTTTGTAAGAAAATATGTAATTTTACCTTTAACTTCTCCTTCCTGATAGGGATATTGGCATTTGTATTTGCATTTGCTTCTTGTTGTTGTGGTGCAGTAACCTAGACAATATACATATTTATAAGAAGTTTCTTAGAATGAGCAATCAATTCAAATACATGATTTTGTAAGAAAATTAATGTAAGGACAATACATATTTTACCTTGCATCTGAGAGCATTGTGACCTGTTTCATGACATTTAGAACACCTTATAGTTGTTTGTTGTTTCTTAAGCTTGTATGGACAAGTTGACCTCTTTCTTTTACCCCTCAGTTCATCAAGTTCTCTTCTTCTCTAAGAAGTGGGTCTGCCTCTGCCTTTTTTCTTACCATGAAGGGGGGGAGAGAGAAACATATGAAGTCTGCCCCCATACAGAGTCACCACTCATTGGCATGATTTCACATTCATATGCCATTATGTAGGAGTCTACTGAGTAAAAATGGCTCAGAAAGTCAACTGGGTCTTCTTTTTGGTTGATAATGGCTCTAAGAGCATGTGTGCAAGGTATTACCACTCATCTCCCAAGCCCTACAAGTACATGCTCTTTTGTCAAGGGCCACAACATACTGTTCTCCACCAGAGCAAGAAATTTGATAATTGTTATCATCTGCTTTAATTGGAATGCACTCACTCATCTTCTCTATATGTTTGTCCAAGATCTTTTGTATCTTACTACACAATCTTCCATGCCATTTTGCAGCTGTTCTATCCCTATTATGCTGGAGTCTTACCATCAGATACTCTCTAATCCAATCCAGGATAGTGATAATGGGCTTGTCTCTTGCCTCAAGGATATTTGAATTAAAAGCCTCACAGACATTGTTAAGCACCATATCACATTTTGGGACACCTGAGAAGTTTGAATTTGACCACTAACTTGGTGCTTTATCATGAAACCATGACCATGCTTCTTCACTGAGATTTTTCATATCCATCATCCTCCTCTTATATTCCCCAACTATAGTAGCTTGTGCAGCACCCCACAATGCTAGCTTAAAACTTAAGCCCCTGAAACCTGCATTCTTGAAGTTGCAGTGAAGGTGTCTAACACAGAACCTATGAGGACTATTTGGAAAAACCTCTTTGAAAGCCTTTATTAAACCCTTTTGTTTGTCATTCATGAAGGTCATTTGCTCATCAACATCAATCTCTAGGTCTGACTTAAGTATGGTTAAAAACCATGACCAAGTCTCTCTTGTTTCTCCACTGACAATAGCATAACCTATGGGGAATAAATTGTTGTTGGGATCAACACCCACTGCAGTCAGCAGAATACCTAGATTATGTCCCTTTAAGTGACAACGATCTACACCAATTATAGACCTACATCCCATTTTGAATCCCCTTTTCAAAGCATTAAAACAATAGTAGAACTTACTGAATCTGGTTTCACCATTTGAAGTGATAGTGTCAAGGATGACAGTGCTTCCAGGATTGGTCTTCCTCAGCTCACCAGAATAGTCCCACAAATTAGAGAATTGCATAGAAGGATCACCTTGTATCACTTTCAAAGCTCTCCTCTTGGCCCTGTATGCTTGTTGCTTGAACACATCAACCCCAAGCTTTTTAATCACTTCAGCCCTCCACCCTTTGGTAGTCCTCTTAGGCTCAGTCTCAAAACTTTCAAGATACTTTTCACTCAACCATTTACTTTTCAAGTTCTTCACAATGAACTCTGGTTGACAAGTGTGATCAGGAAAGTAAGTAGAAATTATGAAAGTTTCCTCATCTGGTTTCTTAAGAGCAGTGTTCTAAAAGTCGCTAGGCGTCCGCTAGGCGCTCGACCAGCGCCTAGCGCCTAGAGCGTCTAGGCGGGGCCTAGGCGGCGCCTAGTCGGGGCCCAGAAATCAATATTAAATACCTTATTTTTTATTTATTTTAACTATCTACAAAATAAAACTATCTCAACTTATAATAAATTCACATGCCAAAGTCTAAATATAATATTAATATATATTAAAGAAAACATGAAAACAAAATAATGTAATTAATATTTAAAAAAATAAAAAGAAATTGAAAAATTGCCGCCGAGCCCAACTAGACGCCGCCTAACCGCCTGGACGGCGAGCCCGCCAAGCCCGCCTAGGAGCGCCTACTGCCTAGGCCCGACTAGGCACCGCTTAGCTGCCTGACTGATTTTTTTCTGTCGATTTGTGCAAATCGAAGGCGCCCGGACACCGCCTAGCGCCTTGGCGCCGCCTAAGCGGCCGCCTAGGCCGATCTTTAGAACAGTGCTTATGAGAATTGATTCTCCATTTGCACCTCTCAGCCTTACACTCAACATATACCCTTCTATTCATTCTTTGTAAACTTCAAGTTTCTTTTTGTGCTAGTAGCATGAGACTGAATTGTCTTCTTAAATTCTGCCTTACTAGCAAAAACCATGCCTAATTCAAATGTTGGATTGAAAATAAGTGCAGGATTGAAAACAGGCTCACTTGGCTCACAATCTTCATCAGACACCCTAGACTCATCTAGTTGAGGGCTATGAATAACCACATCATGTTCCTCATCATCATTATCTGAACCTTTGACATCTTTGTCTATATCATCAACATGTTCTTTCCACAAATCATCATCATCATCTTCACTACAATTTTCAGGACTCATGTTATAGTCAGAATCATATAATTCATCAGAATCAGAATTATTTTCATCCACAAACATCGTCTTCCTACTTATATATTGGTACCCAGATGGAGTCCAATGTCTTCTTATTTGGTCATTTAAAACAGAAGCAGGAGCACGTTTAGGGTCATTAGACTTAGAGGGCTCACTGGGCTCACCAGACTCATTAGGTTCAACTACAGGATCCATATGATTAGGAGCAATCAAATCAACATATATATGCATCTCTCTAGTTCTAACAGCATCATGCACAAATTTAGTAAGGTATCTGTCACTGCACAATAACAAAAACCCACTACTCTCATACATGTACAACCCCATCTCTCCAGTGACCCCTACTTGTTTGCACCAAAGAGTGATAGCCAACAATTTCAATTCTTGTGCGGTGACATAATCAATTATAAGAATCTTACCTCCTTCATATTTTGGTGTTAGGAAATGTTGAAATTTTCCATTCCAATGCACAACCAATAAGAAAGAATCAGACGTTGGATCTGTAAATTTTTGGGAAACAAAAAGTGATCAATAAACAAATACATCCGCATGAACACATTTGATAAAACACAAAAAAAATAAACAAATAAAACTGAAGAATCTTTTTATAAAACCCAAAAAAATAAACAAATAAAACAATGGACACAAATATGTCAAACAAGCAGACAAAAAATGCCAAAAATCCTGAAACAGTGGAGAAATAAACTCAAATGATAACTTACGATATATGGGAGGAGGCAAATTCAGGTGCAATTTTTTACGGAGGAAGCCCATCCGCGTTCAGCCTTATGCTCAATTGTGATATTGATCAACTTAAACCGTTTAGTCGAAGTTGGGGCGGTTTTTGGGGTTGGGGATTAGGGTTCTAATCGATTTTTTGTGATTTTGGGGGGAAGATTTCAAATTTTCCCTTGTTTTATTGCCAGGCGTGTGTGTGTGTTCTCAGCCACGTCAGATGTATGAGGCCAGCGTGGAAAAAGTAAAGCCACATAGGTGCGACGTGGATTTCTGGGCCGGAAAAGGGGAGAAAGTCCTATTTTTGATCGTTTTTTAAAACCTGCGGGACTATTCATATTTTCGGCATTCCGTTGGGACAAAAAATGTCACCCCCTATACCTGTGGGACTAAAATTGAAATTTTCCCTATTGCCACCAACCTCTGAATGATGAATCCTGTGATTGATCTGCATTCCAGGTGACTGGGGCAATGTGCCAGAGATGAGCAGCTCTTGTGCAGTGAAATAAAAGGTGGTTTAAGGTTTCAGGAGCATCTCCACAGATATGACAAATGACATCTACATCCATTCCTCTTCTCTTCAAGTTGGTTTTCACAGGTAATGAGCCTGTTATGCATTTTCAGATGAAAATTTTAACCTTATTCACTACCTTCAATTTCCACATCCTCTATTTAACTTTGATAGTTCTTGCATGCCCAATGAGCTGCTACTAGGAATGTCTGAAGAGAGCAGTCTTTGTTGGCATAGAAAAGGGTAAGTGCTTGAAATTGTGAAGGTACCTTTCTTGTGAAATTTCCAATACTGTTTGTCTGATTTCCCAGGTTTCAGTGTATTTATGGAGAGAATAGCTTTACTATCTTACTCATTCAAAACCTGCTTGACTAACCAGGAGTTCCCGCCTTGTCCTGATTCATTGATCAATTCTTTAACCCAGGTTAAGTGTCCTATTGCAATATTAATAAGGGCAGGTTTAGGATGCCTAAGTGCAGGGACCCAATTCACATCATCCAGTCTAGTGGTTTCCCTATTTCTAATTTGTATAGCAAAGCCCTTTGAAAAGGTAGGGAGAACCTCTAGCCAGTTTGACCACATCCATGAGCAATCATGGGTTTTAACAACCTCAAATAAGGAACAGGTGGGGAAGTATCTGTCCTTGAAAATCCTACTAACAAGCAAAGTTGGTTGGTTGGTGATTCTCCAAAGTTGCTTGCATATGAGGGCAGTATTAAAAGGTTGCAAGTCCATGAAACCCAGTCCTCCATCTTCTTTTGCCAGAGTGATGCTTTTCCAAAACTTCCAATGAATACCTCTTGTTTGTTGATCACCAATACTCCACCAAACTTAAGAGCAGATTTTAGAGATCTCAACACATAGTGTTTTAGGAAGTTTACAACAAGAAATGCTGAACACAAGGAGGGCTTGTAGGACTGCTTTAATCAAAATAGCTTTCCCTGCATGACTAAGTAACTTTGTTCTTCAATTACATATTTTGGCTGATACAGAATCCATGATGTACTTGAAAGTGTCAAGTTTTGATCTTCAAATGCCTAATGGAAGGCCCAGGTATCTTGTTGATCTGTGTGGGGAGATTCCATTGAGAGTGTCACAGATTCTGAATCTTTTCATTATAAAACCACAATATAAGGACCTAATGTAGTCTTTGTTTTATTTATAAATGTTTTACAATCGTGGGTCAAGTTTGAAACTATAAATTCGTAATAACATAATATAAAACCGAACATAGTTAATTATAAAATGCGGCCAAACAAAATCTAATAGAATTTAAAGGCTTAAAAACTATCATTTTTATAGAATGTCTTTATGTTTCGTTCATTAATAAATTTGTCACTGTAAAACACCATAAAACTAAACAGAAAATTATAACATATTAACTATTTTTCTCAAAATTAAAGATATAAACATATCTACACAATTGAAAATCAATAAAAAAATATTTTTCTTTCAAAACTTCATTTATGTAGAAGATTGACATGTTTGTATTAAAACATATTATACGTGTCCTCTCATTTTCCTTTTGGCTATGTTAGCCTTGTTTGATTAGGTTTGGTATCCCTTGTTTATATTCGAACGTTGTTCTCCTTTGTTTTAATACAATTTATCTATCGTCCCGGAAAAAAAAAATAGAAATAAGATACAAATAGAACGCGATAAAAAATTATAAAATCTGACACATATAATATAATTTATAAAATTAAAAAAGACATATTGTCTTGATCACCTTTGAAAAGAGTGTCCATTTTCGGGTCAAAGTATTGAGATTAGGACTGGTATTTTTTGACCGAAAACCGAAAATTGACGAACCTACTTATGTGTAACGGTAACCGATAATCGGTTACCGATATGTTATAGGTTCGGTATCGGTTTCGAGCCCATTAAGTTCGGTTTTTACCGAACCGAACCGATAAGAATATAAAAAAAAAATATTAAAATACTAGACAGATTTTGGTTTTTGAATAGGCATATATATTAGTTAAATATAATAATAAATTAAGTTAATAGATAACTAAATGTTTTAATTGAATTGGTCTTAAATCTTAATTAGTTTTTTTTTAAGTTGCGGATTATTTTAGGTCATTAGGACTTAGAGGCCGTCGTTTTCTTTCTGCTTGCACTAGCACTACGGCCCGTCATTTTCATAATTTAGGGCTGGGAGTTCAATTCAGAAATTCAGAAAGTTCTGCTTGGTTTTTGCTTGCCTCGACCCGTCGAGCGTTCACCTCAACTTCACATCAGGCTTCCTTCTTTACTTTCAAATTTAGATCGCCGCCTTCACCATTCACCTCACCTTCACCGACTCACTTTCGCCGTCAGTCGTGCCCGAAGGAAATGTAATTGGTTTTTCTATTTTTTGTTGTGAGTTTCATTAGCACTTTGCAGATGAGTTTTATCATTCTATTTCAAGCATAAGCATACATGGTCCTCTTTTTCCATGTTCCTCTTTTTCCACTACAAGTCTCTGATAGATTTCGAGCTGGCATTAGTTTGGGAAGGGTTGTAATTTACTTCACATAATTGAGCTCAACTTTGCTGCTGCTGCACTTTATAGGATTTTTTCAATTTTTCGATTTTTATCGGTTAAAACTGAAACCGAACCGTTTTATCGGTAAACCGATTTGTCGGTTACTGTATTCTTATCAGTTCGGTTTCGGTTTGCATATTAATGAAACCAAGCGTCTTTGGTTAGGTATCGGTTTAATGGTATCGGTTCGGTAACCGAACCGATACCAGCCGTAATTGAGATGTGGCAAACATTGCATTGATAGGCCATTTTCGGGTCATAACATGGAGAAACGTGATCACCTTTGCAGAGAGTATTCATTTTTCGGGTCAAAACATTGAGAGATGTAGGGAACTTTGTAGTGATAGGTCATTTTCGTGTTAGAACATAGAAAAGTGTGATCACCTTTGCAGAGAGTGATCATTTTCGGGTCAGACCATTGAGAAATGTGAGGACTTTTGCAGAGAGTGGTCATTTCGGGTTAAACCATGGAGAGGGGAGATGGTCTTTCACTATAAAAGAAAATATGATATTGTGGTGGTTACATATCCCAACATTTTTATTCTATACACTTAACCTTTCTCACATCTAATTTCTTGTAAGAATGTCGATTCGTTCATCTTCCTATAACCACGATGAAGATATTCTTTTATGTCATGTTTATATGGATATTTCTCAGGACCCAATTATTAGGGTATACCAATCATCTTATCGATTTTGATCCCGTATAGAAAAAGCTTTCAATTAAGGACGACTTGAGCAATTGGAGGTTTGTAGCAAAAGATCTATGCAAGCACGGATTCAAATAATCGAAAAAGCAGTCAAGAGACTTCAGGCACGCATAAAAGATGTAGAAGATATGTATCAGAGTGGTGCTTCCAATGAAGATACACTGAGTATTAAAATCTTATTATATATTTCACTTATTAAATTTATTATGCAAAATTACAATTTTAGTCTTGTTGGTTTGATCCAGTGGTTTTTCATGACATTTAGAACACCTTATAGTTGTTTGTTGTTTCTTAAGCTTGTATGGACAAGTTGACCTCTTTCTTCTACCCCTCAGTTCATCAGGTTCTCTTCTTCTCAAAGAAGTGGGTCTGCCTCTGCCTCTTTTCTTACCATGAAGAAGGGAGGGAGGGAGGATCATATGAAGTCTGCCCCCATACAGATTCACTACTCATTGGCATGATTGCACATTCATATGCCATTCTGTAGGAGTTTACTGAGTAAAAATGGCTCACAAAGTCAACTGGGTCTTATTTTTGGTTGATAATGGCTCTAAGAGCATGTGTGCAAGGTATTACCACTCAACTCCCAAGCCCTACAAGTACATGTTCTTTTGTCAAGGGCTACAACATACTGTTCTCCACCAGAGCAAGAAATTTGATAATTGTTATCATCTGCTTTAATTGGAATGCACTCACTCATCTTCTCTATATGTTTGTCCAAGATCTTTTGTATCTTAGTACACAATTTTCCATGCCATTTTGCAGCTGCTCTATCCCTATTATGCTGGAGTCTTACCATCAGATACTCTCTAATCCAATCCAGGATAGTGATAATGGGCTTGTCTCTTGCCTCAAGGATATTTGAATTAAAAGCCTCACAGACATTGTTAAGCACCATATCACATTTTGGGACACCTGAGAAGTTTGAATTTGACCACTGAATTGGTGCTTTATCATGAAATCATGACCATGCTTCTTCACTGGGATTATCCATCATCCTCCTCTTAAATTCCCCAACTGTAGTTGCTTGTGCAGCACCCCACAATGCTAGTTTAAAACTTAAGCCCCTGAAACCTGCATTCTTGAAGTTGCAGTGAAGGTGTCTAACACAGAACCTATGAGGAGTATTTGGAAAAACCTCTTTGAAAGCCTGTATTAAACCATTTTGTTTGTCACTCATGAAGGTCATTTGCTCATGAACATCAATCTCTAGGTCTGACTTAAGTATGGTTAAAAACCATGACCAAGTCTCTCTTGTTTCTCCACTGACAATAGCATAACCTATGAGGAATAAATTGTTGTTGGGATCAACACCCTCTGCAGTTAGCAAGATACCTAGATTATGTCCCTTTAAGTGACAACGATCTACACCAATTATAGACCTACATCCCATTTTCAATCTCCATTTCAAAGCATTAAAACAACAGTAGAACTTACTGAATCTGGTTTCACCATTTGAAGTGATAGTGTCAAGGATGATAGTGCTTCCAGGATTGGTCTTCCTCAGCTCATCAGAATAGTCCCACAACTTAGAGAATTGCATAGAAGGATCACCTTGTATCACTTTCAAAGCTCTCCTCTTGGCCCTGTATGCTTGTTGCTTTGACACATCAACCCCAAGCTTTTTAGTCACTTCAGCCCTCCACCCTTTGGTAGTCCTCTTAGGGTCAGATTCAAAACTTTCAAGATACTTTTCACTCAACCATTTACTTTTCAAGTTCTTCACAATGAACTCTAGTTGACAAGTGTGATCAGGAAAGTAAGTAGAAATTATGAAAGTTTCTTCATCTGGTTTCTTAAGAGCAGTGTTCTAAAAGTCGCTAGGCGTCCGCTAGGCGCTCGACCAGCGCCTAGCGCCTAGAGCGTCTAGGCAGGGCCTAGGCGGCGCCTAGTCGGGGCCCAGAAATCAATATTAAATACCTTATTTTTTATTTATTTTAACTATCTACAAAATAAAACTATCTCAACTTATAATAAATTCACATGCCAAAGTCTAAATATAATATTACTATATATTAAAGAAAACATGAAAACAAAATAATGTAATTAATATTTAAAAAAATAAAAAAAAATTGAAAAATTGCCACCGAGCCCACCTAGACGCCGTCTAACCGCCTGGACGCCGAGCCCGCCAAGCCCACCTAGGAGCGCCTAGGGCCGCCTATGCCCGACTAGGCGCCGCTTAGCTGCTTGACCGATTTTTTCTGTCGATTTATGCAAATCGAAGGTGCCCGGACACCGCCTAGCCCCTAGGCATCGCCTAAGCGGCCGCCTAGGCCGATTTTTAGAACAATGCTTATGAGCATTGATTCTCCATTTGCACCTCTTCGCCTTACACTCAACATATACCAGTCTATTGTCAATCTTTGTAAACTTCAAGTTTCTTTTTGTGCTAGTAGCATGAGACTGAATTGCCTTCTTAAATTCTGCCTTACTAGCAAAAACCATGCCTAATTCAAATGTTGGATTGAAAATAAGTGCAGGGTTGAAAACAGGCTCACTTGGCTCACAATCTTCATCAGACACCCTAGACTCATCTAGTTGAGGGCTATGAATAACCACATCATGTTCCTCATCATCATTATCTGAACCTTTGACATCTTTGTCTATATCATCAACATGTTCTTTCCACAAATCATCATCATCATCTTCACTACAATTTTCAGGACTCATGTTATAGTCAGAATCATATAATTCATCAGAATCAGAATTATTTTCATCGACAAACATCGTCTTCCTACTTATAATCATAGCTTCTTCAATTGGTACCCAGATGGAGTCCAATGTCTTCTTATTTGGATCATTTGGAAAAGAAGCAGGAGCACGTTTAGAGTCATTAGACTTAGAGGGATCACTTGGCTCACCAGACTCATTAGGTTCAACAACAATATCCATATGATCAGGAGCAATCAAATCAACATATATATGCATCTCTCTAGTTCTAACAGCATCATGCACAAATTTAGTAAGGTATCTGTCACTGCAAAATAAAAAAGACCCACTACTCTCATACATGTACAACCCCATCTCTCCAGTGACCCCTACTTGTTTGCACCAAAGAGTGATAGCCAACAATTTCAATTCTTGTGCGGTGACATAATCAACTATAAGAATCTTACCTCCTTCATATTTTGGTGTTGGGAAATGTTGAAATTTTCCATTCCAATGCACAAACAATAAGAAAGAATCAGATTTTGGATCTGTAAATTTTTGGGAAACAAAAAGTGGTCAATAAACAAATACATCCGCATGAACACATTTGATAAAACACAAAAAAAAAATAAACAAATAAAACTACAGAATCTTTTTATAAAACTCAAAAAAAAATAAACAAATAAAATAATGGACACAAATATGTCAAACAAGCAGACAAAAAAATGCCAAAAATCCCGAAACAATGGAACAAAACAAGTCAATACACAAAATCGAAATAAACTCAAATGATAACTTACGATATATGAGAGGAGGCAAATTCAGGTGCAATTTTTTACGGAGGAAGCCCATCCGCGTTCAGGCTTATGCTCAATTGTGATATTGATCAACTTAAACCGTTTAGTCGAAGTTGGGGCGATTTTTGGGGTTGGGGATTAGGGTTCTAATCGATTTTTTGTGATTTTGGGGGGAAGATTTCAAAATTACCCTTGTTTTATTGCCAGGCGTGTGTGTGTACTCAGCCACGTCAGATGCATGAGACCAGCGTGGAAAAAAAAAAGCCACATAGGTGCGACGTGGATTTTCGGGCCGGAAAACGGGAAAAAGTCCTATTTTTGATCGTTTTTTAAAACCTGCGGGACTATTCATATTTTTGGCATTATGTTGGGACAAAAAATGTCACCCCCTATACCTGTGGGGCTAAAATTGAAATTTTCCCTATTGCCACCAACCTCTGAATGATGAATCCTGTGATTGATCTGCATTCCAGGTGACTGGGGCAATGTGCCAGAGATGAGAAGCTCTTGTGCAGTGAAATAAAAGGTGGTTTAAGGTTTCAGGAGCATCTCCACAGATATGACAAATGACATCTACATCCATTCCTCTTCCCTTCAAGTTGGTTTTCACAGGTAATGAGCCTGTTATGCATTTCCAGATGAAAATTTTAACCTTATTCACTACCTTCAATTTCCACAGCCTCTATTTAACTTTGATAGTTCTTGCATGCCCAATGAGCTGCTACTAGGAATGTCTGAAGAGAGCAGTTTTTGTTGGCGTAGAAAAGGGTAAACGCTTGAAACTGTGAAGGTACCTTTCTTGTGAAATTTCCAATACTGCTTGTCTGATTTCCCAGGTTTCATTGTATTTATGGAGAGAATAGCTTTACTATCTTCCTCATTCAAAACCTGCTTGACTAACCAGGAGTTCCAGCCTTTTTCTGATTCATTGATCAATTCTTTAACCCAGATTAGTGTCCTCTTGCAATATTAATAAGGGCAGGTTTAGGATGCCTAAGTGCAGGGACCCAATTCACATCATCCAGTCTAGTGGTTTTCTATTTCTGTTTTGTATAGAAAAGACCTTTGCAAAGGTAGGGAGAACCTCTAGCCAGTTTGACCACATCCATGAGCAATTACCGGTTTTAACAGCCTCAAATATGGAACAGGTGGGGAAGTATTTGTCCTTCAAAATCCTACTAACAAGCAAAGTTGGTTGGTTGGTGATTCTCCAATGTTTCTTGCATATGAGGGCAGTATTAAAAGGTTGCAAGTCCATGAAACCCAGTCCTCCATCTTCTTTTGGCAGAGAGATGCTTTTCCAAAACTTCCATTGAATACCTCTTGTTTGTTCATCACCAATACTCCACCAACTTGAGAGCAGATTTTAGAGATCTCAACACATAGTGTTTTAGGAAGTTTAAAACAAGACATGCTGAACACAAGGAGGGCTTGTAGGACTGCTTTAATCAAAATAGCTTTCCCTGCCTGGCTAAGTAACTTTGTTCTTCAATTACAATTTTTGGCAGATACGGAATCCATGATGTACTTGAAAGTGTCAATTTTTGATCTTCAAATGCCTAATGGAAGGCCCAGGTATCTTGTTGATATGTGTGGGGAGATTCCATTGAGAGTGTCACATATTCTGGATCTTTTCATTATAAAACCACGATATAAGGACCTAATGTAGTCTTTGTTTTATTTATAAATGTTCTACATTCGTGGGTCAAGTTAGAAACTATAAATTCGTAATAACATAATATAAAACCTAACATAGTTAATTGTAAAATGCGGCCAAACAAAATCTAATAGAATTTAAAGGCTTAAAAACTATCATTTTTATAGAATGTCTTTATGTTTCGTTCATTAATAAATTTGTCACTGTAAAACACCATAAAACTAAACAGAAAATTATAACATATTAACTATTTTTCTCAAAATTAAAGATATAAACATATCTACACAATTGAAAATCAATAAAAAAATATATTTCTTTCAAAACTTCATTTATGTAGAAGATCGACATGTTTGTATTAAAACATATTATACGTGTCCTCTCATTTTCCTTTTAGCTATGTTAGCCTTGTTTGATTAGGTTTGGTATCCCCTGTTTATATTCGAACGTTGTTCTCCTTTGTTTTAATACGATTTATCTATCGTCCCGAAAAAAAAAAAAATAGAAATAATACAAATAGAATGCGATAAAAAATTAATCTGACACATATAATATAATTTTTAAAATTAAAAGAGACATATTGTCTTGATCACCTTT